AGGTTGAGGTTGAGGTTGAGGTTAAGGTTGAGGTTGAGGTTGAGGTTGAGGTTGATGTTGAGGTTGAGGTTGAGGTTGATGTTGCGGTAGAAGTTGAGAATAAGATTGAGATTGAGATTGACATTGAGGTTGAAGTTGAGAATGATATTGAGGTTGCGATTGAGGGTGAGATGAAGATTGAGTTGTTTGTTTAATTAAAAATTTTATTTACTTTCAGTATTGGGTGTGTTTAAATTCCTAATTGGATTCAAATGTGGTTTTAACTTTTGAATAATAAGAGTAATTAAAAGACAGAAGCAATTTGATCTTTGAGTTGATTTTAAAGAATATTTTGATATTGAGTGTGTATTTTCTTTCAATTGAGTTTAATTTTTGAATTGAGTATATAATTTTTGGCTCTGAGCTGAGATTATTCTATTGCCCTATTGCTCTTTAGTTACTACCTGAATTTTGAATGGAAATGTAAAAATCACTGCAAATACACCTATCTGCATACTTATGAACATTTATATTTCCGCGTTCCATTGTTTGATCAATAATCGAATTTCGGAATAACAAGCACAGCAAACTAAACAGCGTTTAACTTTGCTTAGTGGGCCGTGACAGTTCAGCGCTTAAGTTTCCTGTCTACCAAAAGGTTTACCTAGCCACACAAACACAATCAGATATCGCTGCATATATATCAGCATGTATACTAAGTCGATATGCACGCTCATAGTGCTACATGGCGTATGAGTGTTCTAAGGATTCACATAACCATCTAGCTCTAGCTTTGTGCCACGTGCCTTGTACGCTGCGCACCACTCCCAGTGGGATACAGTTAGAAGGTATGTAAGCATGTAAGTACGTAATAGCGTTGCGGTAAGCGGAATGCTCTTTGGAGCTTTGCGCTCATCTTTTCATATAGTGAATTTTAACGCTTAACTTTCGCTACGGAAGTGTAACTAATGAAATTCGTGACCTTTGAGATAACAAAAAGCACGCTAGCAGTAACCACTCGTTGCAGTGTTAGCCAAAAGTCGAGAGCAAAAAATTGCAGATACGTGGTGGCATGCAACATACTTGAAGGTATATGCCGCGTGATAGGTGGTTACACTGAGGTCGCTGGAAATTTTAGAATTTGTACTATCAATTTTATATAATATATCTATGTACATTTAAAAATTGTATATGTTATAGCATTACAATGCTAATGTGGAAAGAACTAAATAGCTAGAAGAAGTACGAAAAATTGTTGTTGTAATGGCGTCACTCTTTGTAATAACTAACACAAAGAACTATCAAACGTTTAGACAGTTAAATGATTGGTCGGATATTAGATTAAATAATTTGAGGCTTTATTTTCAAACCGGTTGGTGACAGCTGGGCGCCCACAGGCAATATGGCCAGGCAGCAAATAGGCTAAGTTGATAAGTAATGTGAAAACTAATTACACATTATATTAAATAGAAAAGAAGTAAAAGAGAAATTTCAGTAAATAATGCCGAAGATTGTATTGTGTGTCGCAGTTTTGTGATTTTTAGAAAGAAAGAAATTTTGATTTGCTGTGTAAAAACTTGGTTAGACTTCGTCAGAATTTTTTTTTTTACTTGTTTCAGCTATGAAAATTTTAAAACGCGTACCCTTTTCCCTTGAAAATAATATAAAATAAAAGTATACTTTTTTATGGCAAGCATCTAGAATATTATTAAGAAAATGAGCGATTAAAAAGCAAATTTCCATTTCATGAATGGCAAAAGGCTCTCATAGAATTTATACGCCAATATTAGCGTATCCAGCCATTTAATTCACAGCTTGACGTCATTTTAAATAATAAGAATTTCTGCGTATTTTATAATTCATTCATTTCTGTTGAAAGGGTCTTTATTGTTGCCTTTATGCTTGTATGTATGTTTGTTTGCTTATGTAAATGTTTTACGGAAATTCAAAGCAGTTGAGCAAAAAAACTTAATTGTATATAATTTTAAGTATTTCTAATAAAAAAAATTCGACTGCAACATTGAATTCGTATATAATTATATTTTTTTAACTTCCCGAGCTCAGAAGCAGTGAAAAAAGCGAAATTTGAATGTTAACGTATGAAATTAGCGGGAAGTTGCAGGGATGGCCCTTGAGGCCAACCGTTTTCCACATTTTTTTATTTGTAACAGAAAACGAATATATTCGGGTGAAAATAGATCTTAAAGGTTACATACATTTACTGCAAGCTGAAAGGTAACGAAGATATGCATAACAAAAATTACCTTTCATGCGTGTTGTCTTTTATTGTGAGTGAATTAAAAATTGATCAGTAGAAACTTATTGAAAAGCGACACTTTTTCAATAAGCATATTTAGAAGGCTTGTGAACTAAAGTTATTACCCCCGCCTTCTTTTGATTCGGCGAGACTTATCCAACTAGCAATAAACCGTTTGTACTGTATTATTAAGTCAACTCTAAAGCTTAGTCTTCTTTGAGGTATTGGAAATATAAGTCAAAATCATAATTATTAAAGACTTCAATAATGACTCCCAACAACACATAGTTGAACCTATCTTCACCACTGAGAAATGTCTGCGCTCCAATTATATATGCCCTATATAGCCCCTATATAGCTAAGGAATATTTTGAACCAATTTTTTCCAGTTTTGGTATTACGACATATCATTACTAGGAAAAGCTGCTGTTGCATTAAGTTGTCTTATATATTAACCCATATATGTAGTATAAAGTCAAATAGTTGACTCGAATATATTTTTATTGGGAATATGGGAGTCAGAGGAAGTACCAAACCAATTTTTTTCATTTTTATTGCAAGCGCATGCTGTTAACACAAAAGTATTCTCTCCGAATTTCTATACTAAACCTTACAAACTGACCGATATTATTGGCAAAAACTCAGCCGTAGGCACAAAGGTCCAAATATTTGGTATGGGGGCCGTGGAAAGTTATGTTCCGATTTCAACAATATGTAAACGTGAGATGGAACACCTTAATTACAACTGCTGTGCAAAGTTTTATTTTGATAACGTGAGAGTCAGTGACTCTCGATATGTAAACTGTAAAGTTATAGAATTATAAGGATCGTCATATGGGAAGTATTAGTCAAAATATCCGTTATATAAACAGTGGCCCTATTTTCACTCTGTCATAGGAAGTATCGAACATATTTGGCTAGCGGAAATTTGATTGATATAGCGCTTATATGTGAGATATGGATATTAACCGTTTTAGAGGTGGGTCCACAAACCACAACCACTTAAAAACATTTTCAAACCACAGATGTCCCTCTCTATTCGCTGTGGTTTAGTTATGGCGTTTTTTAGGTTTTAGATTACTTGGTTCTAGGAAATATGTGTACAAAATTTCACCAATCTCAATCTTTGCTCCGATTATCGCTTGCACGGATGGTCGATCAGACAGTCACTCACAATTCGACGCAACTCGTAATCCTATCAGGTTTATATTAAATTAAACGTATTCTCAACCACTCTTTATTCTAACTATCTATATTTTATTATCTTACTTCAACAAATTCTCTTAATCAATGCAAATTTATATGTAATAGTACAGCATGTGTTCACACTTTATGATAACGCTTTGACCCACTTTAGGAATATCTGCTACATCAAAGTAGCCAAGTATGAACGCATTTTATTTTGTTTGCCATTGAATAATGTTAACGAAATGCAAGTTAAGAATAAATCTGTGCCTTCAATTGATCACATTGGCTATAGCAAAAATCTCTGTGTATATGTTGGGTCACAGCTGCGCCATGGCTGAGTTCAGTGGCTGAGCTTTGCGGTTGAATAAAGATGCAGCAGCATGGAGAATGAATACATATATTCAACGCCAGCTTGCTCCACTTCAAAGCATACCAATAAAGAGTAATGCGAAAGAAAAATGCCAGTTATTCGCACGCACATACATACACACATACAAAATGTGCAGCTAGTAAAAGTCTTTCGGATGGAAGACATTTCTTTTTAGTTCGACTTTTATCCTGCATTTTACGAGCTTTGCCCTTTTTGGGCTTGCTCTCACAGCGGTTGGGTTATATACTATGCACTCGTTCTTACACCATTTTATTCGTTAGGCTCTGTACTACTTTGGTAATATTTTTTAGTGTCTATATGGTTTAAAAAATATGCACGACTTTTTGACCAATCTCATTGACATATTGAACGCACGGTTTATTGATGAGCGATGTTCGCAACAAAAGTCGTAAAACACAAATTGAACATTGGGTTATAACAATTTATTTGCGATGATTGACAGATTCAAGCACATGACATTGGTTGATCAATCAATCAATCGTAAAATCAAAAAAGAAGAAGCAACTTGTAAGCATTTTTACTAAATTCATTTATTGACGTCTAAATTATTCTAAAATACGTGAAGTTATCTGTGAGCTCTCAAAATTTCTATAGGTTATCAGTCAGATAAAAGTAGTACTGCAAAGACTTAGTTGCACCTTAGCCGCTTAAAACATTAATTTTGCTATAGATAGATCCTAAAAGAGATAATCAATGGAAAATTTGTACGCATTCAGGTATCTCACTAAAAGCTTATTTGTTCGCGGTGATACCGAATTATTTGGAAAGTATCTCGGTACGCCTTTTTTAAGGCGACAGATAGAGATGAAATAAGTTAACTTTTAACTGATAAAATTGGTTACTTTTAACATGATATTTTTACAAGCGAAATAACGCTGCTACGGATTCATAGAGTAATAACTACCTTACTATCTGCAATCTAACTTAAAGCGAATAGCGTCATTAGGTATGCGACTTTGCTCAAATATGGTATGTGACTTCGCTAAAAAACAACGTGGAGTACATTTACAGAGATAATTGCAGTGCTAAAAACAATTAAGAGAATATTACAAGAGTCAGAAAAAATAAGTTGTTTTTTTATTATTATTTTGTTTTTTTTTGCACAAGCATTTTATTTAGTAAACAAATTAAAATAAAGAAAGTTTCCGGAATTTAAATTATTTAAAATTTCGGGCGTTCGTTTTGTAAAATTTTGCAAACGCAGCCGAAATTAAAGTTTTTCAACTTTCTCCACTTGACTGAAGAAATTCCTTACGAAACATAAAATCTAATACATTTGTGAAAATATATATAATGCAAAGTAATTTTAGTTTTTTGAAAATGTCAATACTTCAATAAATGCTTATCATTTCTATGTTCACCACACAAAATAATTGTGTGCGTCTATTGGATTGTGTTACCAAAACCGGTATGCAAATTTTAATATTGAGTGATGTTATGTTCGTCTATACAATTTCGTTAGTTTTGTGTTAATTGTGAGCAGCTGTAGTAATAATAAAGGCATTGAACCTTTATGAACACATACATATAGGCAAACGTATCTGCAATGTTTAAAATATGCATAACAGTAATGTTGAGTTAAATGCGATATATATAAAGATATGTGTGCGTATCAAAATATAAATAAATATTGGCATTACTAAATATATGTTTATATGTATTCTACAATAGTATATATATGTGATATACATCTAAGCAATACTCGTATAAACATGTTAATGGTACTGCAATGAGGATATGAAAGGAATGTGTGAGCACATAGACAAAACTATGTACACCTTAGGTTGTCCCTTATTTTAGAAGTTGACTTTATTTTTACAGAAGCTCACTAATTTCAGTTTTTGCTTTTAAAAAATGTATCCAATACAAACACTTTTTATTTTCAATTTAACTGTGTCTGAAAATTTTTTTCTATGTATATGTATATATTTTGTATTAATGAAATAAATCAAAAACATTAAACAAGTAATATTCTAATAAAAAATTTTCCGTTCCACAAAAAAGGTTTTGATAACTTTTTCCATAAAAACATTCCTTTAAAAGGTATACGCAATTAAAGCTTTATAATAGCATACAGTAGTACATCACAGCGTATGAGCAACGTAGACATTTTTAAGCACTTGTATCAAAAACAAAAAATTATACCTCAACTTGGAAATAATGAACGCCCTAATGTACCTCTAATCAGCAACTACCGATGTTATAACAAAATTTCCATGCACTTGTCATTCAAATTGATTGTATATTTGCGCAATTGCTCTTTGTTCGACTTTCTAACAATAAACAATGGAGGAAATGAACGAATTTGTAGGTACAAATATACAAGTAGTTTTGCATTACAATTTTAATACTATATGTTCATGTATGTACAAGTATATTAATGCAGTCTGTGTTGCTATACCAATACTCTTAATAGATGACAATTGAATGAATTATATATTTACCGTTATGACAGTGAAAACATAATATTATGAGACTAAATTTTTGAGCACCTGTAACTAGATTAGGTACACATTAGGGTGGTGAAAATTATGCATTCGTTTATGAGTATGCTCAAAATATGTAGAAAAAAGTTTAAGAAGAATAATAAATAAAATCATTTTTATTACTGAAGCTTAAAGTTTTGAAATGACTATAAACACTTTCAAAATTTCTGTAAAATAAAGTATGGGAATAATTTTTATTAGGCTTCATAATTGAAAGTCAAAAAATATGTAAGCTTTCTCGCAATCTGAGAAGAGTTTTCATGCTTCTCAAAGGCACAAATACGTGAGCAAGATTTTAGAGCGATATCTCAAAAACTGAGGGACAGGCGGACTTGGCTTAATCGACTCAGCTCATCATGCCGATCTATTAGATATTATTTATTTATATACAATTTTATAGGGTCTCCGATGATTTTTACTATTGTAAGTAAAGTCGTGGAGTAGTTAATATATTGAAGAAGACATGAATGGACCCATCCGCCATCGCACACAACAATTGGAGCTCTTCCCACTCACTTTATGTAAGCTATGCAGAAGTATCTTGGTTCTCGAAAATCTCATTCTTGTACGAAAGATCATCAAGCGCGAAGCACGTTCGATGAATGGGTCCAAAACGAGGTCCGATACCGATTTTCAAAAAAAACAAAACATATTCAGCGATAAAACTCACTTTTGGTTGAATGGGTATGTTAATAAACCAAGTTGTCGCATTAAGAGCGATCCACAAGTCATTTTGAGATGCCGCTACATCCTCAAAAAGTCACTGTTTGGTGTGCGCTATGTGCAAAGTTATGCCCTTGGTCAATATTTCTCCAAAAGCTAAGGCTTTTTGTGGGGTTATGTGAAGTCGCTTGTCTAAGCAGATAAACCCGAGACGATTGATGCCTTGGAAGATAGTATTCGGTGGCCGTATGACTTATTGTTGCAAAAAGCGGTGCAAACTTGTGTATCACGACTGGAATTTATTCGAGCTAGCTGCATAATGACAAACCCTTATCATTATAATAAAGCTGAAGTCTATGCCTTAACATTAAATTATATGCGTTGTATTTATTCTTGAAAAACAAAAACATCTCTCTATTTATAAATTTTTTTTTGGTATTTGGATTTGTGATATTTTTAAACACAAAAGTCTTCCTCACCATCAAACACCCTAAATTCACAATGTGTATACTGAAGACAAGCATTTTTGCATTTTATATACTACAACAGTGGTTGCAAGTAATACATAATAAACAAAAAATGCGCACTGGCTGCGCAGTTGCCAATGATCAGTAGCCGGTTGTCATATGTAATGCAAATTACATATGTAATATTAAACTTCAAAATTTTGAATGCCTTTGAAGCTTCTTTAAAGTACCATATACTCCACGTATCTACCACTGTAAACCCTTTTAAAATATATAATCACCGTTACTAGGCCAAATCAACACACAAGTTCAGCTTAATGGAAAATGGTAAATGTAAAAGAATGAAATTTTGCACAAACATGCATTTTACAATTCAATTTTATCTGTAGCGCTTCGGGTAAACCGATTAATATGTGTTATGTGTACAATATAAAGCATATAAGCGAAAATCGGCTATAATACAAGCAACAGCGACTACATATATAGCAGGCGTATATTGAAGCACAACAACATATTTAAATTTTCACGTTTGCCACACACGTGCCACAATTTTCACCTGCCACAACAATAACAGGCGAAATGTGTACGCTTTTTTAAAAGCTTCTCATCGCCCGCAGCACTTTCGCACTTATTTTTTGTGTGTTAATAAATACAAAAATAACAGCGCGTGAAAACAGTGTAAAATACAAATACTCATTATAATGATAATACTCAAATGAATCGATATTTAAACACAAACGCATGAGCTTATATGTATGCTTAATTATATATATATATATATATATATATATATGGTTGCATTAGTGTATGCACTGTGCTTGTGCGCTTACCTTATAGCCTTGGATGTGTTAACACGCGCTCCATCCTTGTACCATTGGAATTGCATGCGCGATGATCCTTGGGCGGTGCATGAAATTATAAATTCACTGTCTTCACGAATCGCTGATTTTTGATTAATTGTCAGTTCCTATAATGAGAGAATGAGAAAGTGAAATGCGTAAGTGATTGTATTGTGCGCTCATAATTGCTTTGGGGGCCTTTTCAAGGATAGCAATTTAAATATTTATGCAGTTGAAATAAGTACATACATTATATATAGAGAACAGGTAGGTAATTTTTAAATGCAAATAAGAACTCGTAGTGGAAAAGCGAGAGATATTTTTTTACGTTTTCTGAAACAATTTATCATTGTAATATATCTGTAATCAAAAAGTAAGGTGAATTTCTTTATAAAATGCAAGTTCTTTATTTATTCTTCCAAATCAATGTCATCACCTTCAAAGTAACCCCCGCGCATTAAAATACTATTGTCAACGCTTTTCCAGTCTTTGCAGCACTTGGAATTGCCTTGTACCGGTATAGCCTTTGGGACCTTTTTCTATTTTTTTTTAATTATTTTTATTTCCTCAATTGTGTAAAAAGCGCGTCTCCGCATTGATCTTTTGAGTTTGCTGAATAGCCAGAAGTTAAATCAGGCGAATATTATCATATACATCGGAAATCAAGTTATTTAACCCTAAAAAACTCATCCAACTCCCTCCCCTTCCTCTTCCCGACTTCAGATCTTTTTCAAGGGTGGGTTAAAGCTCGGAGAATTTTTCTGCAAGGAGCTCTCCGTCAAGCTTAGTTTTATTCTACCGGCTCACTGCAGCGCTTTTTAGATAGAAGTGGCATCGAATTAGGTAGCAGTAGATGCCTTTCCCGGAATTGCAGTCGCTTTCAGCGAAGTGAGCATTCACTCCGACAGCAGAGCGACCGTACTAGCTTTGAGTTCGTTAACTAAGCGCTCTGAGTTAGTCAAGGAGTGCCTCTTCTCACTACCAATAGCATTAAGCTGCTTCATTATCAGACTCGTTTGGGCACCAGATCATAGCCAAAACACTAGAAACTACGAGATTTGTTCTAGTAGAACGCAGGCGATCCACTCAATTACTTGTTCTCAGGTTCATGTTGCCGCAATCCTATCTTGGGGGACGCAAATTTTCAAAGTTGTCTTGATGAAGTTAAGATAGAAACATCTAAACACTTACGCCTCTGTTATTCACCTTTTGCATGACTGAATTGGAAACATCAAGGCAGTCATACTGTCGACTAACCATGAGAAATTACAGACACTGATATTAAAAGCCACCAGAAATTTGTAGTAGGCTAAAAGCGCTTTATTAAATTATCAGGGTATTTATAGTCATTATAGGTAAAGGAGTTTTAGGTACATATGACAAAGGATCGGCGTTTTAAGTTGTTCAAGTGATATGCCGTTTGGCGATTGTAACAGTATCGGCCTTTAAATAAGCATTTAGTAAATCTCAAATAAACTTGGCTAATATAAAAATGAGTTAGATGATTTAAACCATTTTAATAAGATTATAAGAGTAACTCTCCTATATTATTGTATTCAGAGAAAGATAAGAGTAAGCAAGGAATTGGCGAATCGAACATGTTGTCATATTGTAAATGCCTACACGTAAACACACTTTCAATTACTTATTCATGTCCTTCATATCTCAAGGTGAGCTTTATATGAGACTGAAATATTTCTTTTCTGATTTTTCATGCACACCTGCAGCCGAAGGCACATCCTTCACACAAAGTGTAAATCGTGAAAAAATTTACGATTGAAATGAAAATTGCGAGCTGCTGCTGTTTTAATGCACCACAATTATTATTCATAAAGATTACTCAATATTGCCGCTGCATTGAAGGCCATTACAATAGCCATGTACCGTTATTGTTCCAATAAACAGGTGTTATATAACCCAACATTTAGTTGCAACCATTGCAATTATTGGTTAACTCATACATGCATAACTCTTTGTATGAATATATATATATATATATGTGTGTGACGATGATTGATTGGTGTATAAAGCGTATAACAATTGCCATAAGAGGATACATACGAACAAAAACAACAATAGAGCTGGCAAATGGCAATAACACAACAATATGTACTTGTCGGTCATTTTTAATGAGTATATTGTTTATAGATTCATGAATAATAATTATTTTTGTACACCATTGCTGCAGGTGGTAACTGCAGCGCTCAGGCACTATTTAAATTATTTACCGACATTGTTTGTGTGTGTGTTGTATGTTTTCATCGCCACATAAGTGTGAAAGTGTTAAGTGTTGCCACACAGAGTTACCAACAAACGATGGTTTTATAAACATGGCACGGTAAGGCAAGTGAGGTTAAGTGTTGAACAAAAATTATTTTAATATATATATTTAATTGAAATTTTTCTGTATTATTTTAGGCTTTATTTTGACATTTTTTTTTTAAATTTCGAAATTGATTTTTATTAAAAATTTGAATTAGGTAAAGCCTTTCCAATATTTGTATTTGATTAAATATTTTCTTCAATAATTTTGGTGTAATTTTGAATTGATTACTGTAAATTTTTTTTTTATAAATTTTAAACCTGTTGTTTCGAAAATTTTTATTTGATTATAGTTTTGAAAAAAAATAATAGAAAATAATTAATATTTTTTTTGTAATATTTTGAATTAATTATTATTACATTTATTATAAATTTTGAAACTAATTTGAATTGAAAATTTTAATTTGATTATACTGTTTAAACAACTCAGTGTGATTAATTTTTTTTTATATTATGTGGGTTTGGTACTATTTTGCAAATTATTTTGCTTATAATTATTTTTATGTGCTTAAAAAATAATTTTAAATGTAGATTTGTTAAATTTAAATGTATAAAACACTTAGCGCATAATTTTTTATAATTTCTCAAACTTTTCTTTTTTCATTCTTTTTAGTAAAAATATAAAAACCATATTTTGCAGCGTTGTTGGTTTTTTATCGGGTAAATTTATTTGTTCAACAAAATTATTTTTAAAAAATTTCTAAAACCCTTTTAGTATTATTTTTTTTTTTAATAACAAATATTTTTTTTATTACATATAGAGATTAAATTTCAAGGCTTATATATCTTGAAAATTTTGAAATTAATTAGAATTTTGTGTAGTTCAATCCTATCGTAAATATTTTTTTTTTCGAATAAATAATGTATATTTTTAAGTTTTGTTTCATAATTTAAACTTTTTTTTTAGTTTCATTACTATGTAACAAATAATTTTTTTTTTAAAACTGACCTTTGATAAAATTTTTATTTCCGATTTTGTTTTATTATTATTTATAGTGATAATCCAATATTTCCAGTTAATAGCAAATAACTCTGTTAAATTGTCTTCTGATATTGTTTTATGATTTTTTTTATTTACGAAAACTGTTTTCTCAAAATTTTTTTTTGTCATGAAAAACTAAATAAACTTTTTCGAAAAATTGCTTTTGAACCAATAGCAATTTGTCGTAAATTATAATTATTGAAACGAATTCTAAAAGGTAATAAATACACATGTTAATAAAAAAAATATTTTTTTTCTGTTTGTTTTTTTTTAACTTTTTTTTTTTTGTTTTAATAATAATATTTTTAAAAAGATAATGAAATGAATGAAATGAGGATTTTGCCTTAAAAAATATTCCTTATGAAGTCCTTCTCTGACAGCCACCGTGCATTATCTCATAAATATTGCATACTTTTGTGCGCATTATTGTGTCAGCAATTTTAAATTTTGTTTTCCTTCTGATGTATGCGTGTAAATGACAGTTGCGTGTGATTGTGTATTTTCAATTAAAAGTATTGAGTGACAGTTGTTAAAAAGTTGTAAGGTAAATGTGTGTGTGTGTGTGTAAATATTTAATGACAACGCTGTTGGTAACCCTTACGCATACACCAATAAATAAATAAATAAATATTTACACATATCCGTTTAATTACACAGATGATCTTATGTGTATGCAGTAAGTTAAGTAAGAGTGTTTTTTGGTTGTTGTTGCGAAGCGAATACAGGTAGCCAAGTGGTGAGAGTAAATATATGTATGGTAAGTGTTAATTGATTTTTTATCGCTTTCACTGTTTTCATTGCGCTCAAGTATCGCTTTAAATGCCAGTATATACCATAAATGGGGAAAATTAATTAACACTTATGGACCTCAACACTTGTGTTCTTTCACATGCACATACACACATAATCATATATGAGTGTTGAAGTTGCATACGTTTTTGTTTTTTTTTTTGAAGGTACTCAGCTGCAAAGCGTTTTGTGTGCACATAGGGTTATGAGATCATATAAATAAGCGACATTTAAAGGGAGTGTCAATTTAATTGCGGTTTTGTTATGAGGTGGTTAAGATGATAATTATAATTATGGCACTTCATTTTTCAAAAAATAATGAAATGAGAGAGTTTAAACTCAAAGAGATGGGTTAAATTGATCAGCCCAGTCTAAAGGAGTACTTTTTATATCTTACTTAAGCCATTGCTAGGGGAGAGAAGAATAAGTGAGATAGACAAAGAGAGAAGGAGAGCCAGTGAGATGTGGAGGGAGAGGTACAGAACGATTGAGAGTGAAAAAAGTTGTGAGAGCGTGAGAAAGATATAGGCAGGTATAGAGAGGGAGGAAGCGAGTGAATTAGAAGGAGATAGCGAGTAAGAAAGATATACACTATTTGAAAATCCAATTTAGATGAGCACATAAATTAAGTTAAGTATATCGTGGAATAAAAAGAAAACGATAAGCCTAAAGAGAAAGCCCGAACCAAACGACCACAATAAACTCACGGAGATCAACTTAGCTTTAAGCTACATATTTCTATATGCCTAAGAACCATAAGCAAACCTACTCTCTTAAGAATCTTTTAGTGGTGATTAGACTCTCTTAAATAAAAAAAAATATTAAGACTTAAATATATATATATATAAATAATTGCTACTCACCAATAAATTCAGCGGTGGGTTCTCATCAAATAAATGGTAATTGGAAACAAGCGTAATATTTCCAATACGCCCACGTTCCACCATACGCGTGATAGCTTCACGTATGCGATTCGAATCGCCCTTCACGCCAAAGAAGTGAAATGTGATGTCTAAACGATCGGTGCTATTCGAGATTAATTCTAAATCGCTGATTTTTGTGATATTGAAATTGCGTAAAACGCGCATGAGCTGGAAAAAAAGAGAAACATTTTTATTTGATAATCAGATTTTTAGTTTTACAAAATATTTTTATCTAGCTTTTTACTAAATAATTGATTTCCAAAAAAAAATATATATATATATTGTATATTGATGATTGAATTACACATATTTTTGGACATGCTGATATATATTTTATGTACAATAAGTATTTAAAGTTTTGGTAAATTGCAATAAGCGCCTATTTATATGCTACACAAATTCATACTTTGTAATTCATTCAACATTCAATAGCCCTGTTTTCTATTCTTACTTTTAAAAGTCCTTTTACTGATATATCATTATTGGAGTTTAAAAAAAAAGTCTTAAACAATAACATGCTTTCCTTAGGCGTTAAAATAAATTTTGAGTCAAAAACCGTAAAATTCGGTAATTTTTATATAAATGTGGGTTATGATGTTAAAATTTTTTTATTTTTTTGTTAAAAATTTTCCTTTTTTTTATAAGCTACAAATTTTACAATCCCGCTAAACAAAACAAATTTTTTTTTTCGCTCCACCCAAATATACATATACGTAGAAATAAAATTTATTATTTGAACGCTCTGCCCAATTGTATGCTATATTTACTTCACCTTGAAATTCGTAAGTCTCGAGGCCACTTATGAAACGTTGCCTACATTTAAGCTAAAGTTCAGTAATGATAATGTAATGAATATAGGTATCGTATATATTTTTAGTTTTTACGACTATAACATGAATGTTCACCTGTGATTTTTATACACTGAACAGTGTGCCACGAACCGTCTGTATATACGTGAACTAGTCCCTCAGGTTTTAAGGATTACGGATTTTCTCTCCGCTTTCGGGTAAAATATTTTGGTATACACACTGAGTTTAACGTCTTAATGTCTTAAACACTGCAGTGGCTCTTTCTACCTTAATTATTAATACATATGTAAGTAAGTATGTATGTATTTGATAATTTTTCGGTGTCAATGTAAAATGAGGAGCAAGTATTGTAGTAAATTTCAGTATCCAATATCTACAAAAAATATTAGTAAATGTTGAAGAGGTACTCAGAGTTTCGAACAATTCGATGTCATACAATTTTATATCTCTAGGGAGTATGTGCCAAATGTATAGCAAGAAATGTAAAAACACTATGTTATAAGTATATTAACAAATATATGTGTTCAACAAAAGCCACACATTTTATTTATAGAAGTTTTTGTATAATAGAAGGATGATAAATATGTATGTATGTACATAAAAAGGGTTACCTCAACTACTCTTATTATAGCTATGTGGTTTGATTTAATTAATTTGATAGGTTAATGCTCATCAAACCACTACTAGAACTGTGATGCTTTATTTTGAGATTTATTTTTATACTTCAAATATAATATGTATACATCAGGGTGAGGAATAAAAATAATGATATCGAATTAGTGGGTTAATAAGAACCTCTGTAGAGAAATATACGATTTCCAGGCCTACTTTATTGAAACATAAACTGAAAATAACAGATTTTATTAATTTTTTATTGTTCTAAAGTAAAAAATTTCCTAGATTTTTTAATTTTCAAAACTCATTTCGTACTTTTTCTCAATTTATGCTTCTGCCAAATGAAAGGGATTAAATATATTTAAATAATTTTTTGCCTCCGCTTAATTCTACTCATAATATTAAGCAATTTTCTGTGTCAGAGGGTCCGTTAACATATTCGAAGTAATTTAACAGAAAATAATTTTAAGTTTAATTTTAAAAGGTCTCTATATCGATTATTTTAGGAAATTTTTGTTCTTCAAGAATCTGCTCTGCAAAAATTGTATACTTAACGGTTTTAAAGTTATGATATTTTTAATGAATATACATTTTTTTGCAAAGACTTAATTCATTTCCATCATAACCCATAAATACGTTATTTTTTTTGTTTTTGCACACCCTAACGTACCTATGTAGAAAAATATAATTAGCTACTAAAACTTATATACCGTAATTAAAAATGTATATGTATTTGTCTTTATGTATTTTCATACTAACTATAAATACTATGTCTGATATATTATTAGATAACTTTCTGATTGTCCTCACAAAAAAAAAACAACAATTCCTTTGAGCTTTTATTTACTACTAGTAATCCAAGTAGTTAAATAGTGATTTTAATCTGCGTCGTAAAAAGAGATAATTAATACATTTCTGCTCTGGCCATGATTAACAGTTTGTGTAATAATATTATAAAATTTAAGCGAAGACAAAGCAAGAAAAAGGCTAGATAATAACAGCTAGCAGCTGGATATAAATGTTTAGTACGTTAATGTAATTTTTGTGATTACTTCTAGTCAGAGGCATTGATTATAATAATTAGTTAAGGAAAGTTGTATTATTTGTTCTTTTTATAGTGACTACATGTGATGTCAATCTGCTTAATCATCAACTGTGTTGTGAGGAAAACGGGAATCTATTACTACATATTAAGCCAAAACTCTCCAAAAACACAAAATTTTCACGATTTTTGATAAAACATTTTATTATCGCCTTCATAATAGGCTTTTGAGCTAATACAAGTTTCAAAGGTCCTCAGGTACATTGTCAAATATCTTGTTTGCGTCGTCTACTTAGTACTCCGAGACTTTGATAGCTCTATTTATGAAACTTATTAAGAAATATAATGAAAGCTCCGAATTTCAAAAACTATAGAACATGTGGTAGCAGTAGAAGAAAACATTAATATTGACATTGACTCAAACACAGTTTGAGTAAAATGGCCAAAAGACAGAGCCAATGTAGAGCAAGATTAAATGTTAAATGTTATAACTGTAATTATCTTGCTCCATGACACAATACCTTCTGTTTAAAATGCGCTTAAATGCTTTAGTAGTTCGTTCTCTTTACTTAACAGAGCAGTTAACGAAATTTTTTAAGCTATTTCGTTTGACATTTACGTTTTTTAAACCTGTACTAAGAACTTACATATTACACCTACACCTACAACAATTTCACAGGCTATTAATGTTAATACATTTTTGCTGACAGTACAACCAAGGTTTAGAAACACATCAAAAGGAAAAGTGCAACACGCGTACATCTTATCCGACGGTTGAAAATATGTAGGACGAACGATCCCAAAAAAGTAAACGGATTAGCACAAAATTGTATTACTGAAATATGTATGTGATTAGAGGGAAAGCTTAGCTGAGCAGATAAAATAAAATAGATTTTCGGATTTTTTTGCACTCTTTGCCAAACAGCAAGATAAGCAAGTCCGCGTCAGGCAAATCTTTGCAATATAAATCAGTTTTTTACAGGTGTACACCAAGAAAGTGAAAGTGTAAAAATTAAGAAGAAGGGAAGTACGACGAGAAAAAGCAAAGAAATATTTTAAGTAAGCACTTTTTAATTTAAAGTAAAATTCTAGAAGTCAGGGAACACAATTTTTTATAGTAATTATGAAAAACAAATTTTTTTTTTGTAAATCAAACATACATATTGTTAGAATAAATCTCTACATTTATGTACATAAATAAAATCTTGCTAAAATATAAAATACAACTTGTAATCTTACAAAACACTCAATAGATGCCTGTTTTTGGGTATTAAGCGACATATTTTATGCAACGTTTTATTTTTATTTATCGACAATTCATTGGGTATGTGACTTCACTAAATTATTTATTTGCGTACTTTATCATTCCGCCTAAAAGTATGCTTTATGCGGCTATACGTTACTTATCATTTTATCTCAAAAATAATTTTTGTAAAGTTTCACTCCGTCTGACATATACAGATTTAAGAAGTGCTATTATATACACATAAATTAAACAAACCATAATGTTGCCTACATTTGGGCTGAAGTTGAAGAAATGTTTTGGTTACTAAAAAAGGCGGGTATATTGTTGTTGAAAATGAATAAAATATTTATCTTTAGGGAAAATATAATATCTTATTTTATTTAAATACAAACTGGAAATAGCAAATCTCACAAAATGTTTAGCGGTTTAGAAGTAAAAACATTCTTGAATTTTTTTTTATGCAAAATTCTTTCAGCACTTTTCCTCACTCCATGCTTGTATATTGCCTTTGGGATTAAATATGTTTCAATTTTCATTTCTGCTGGATTTTGCACATAAAATTAAGCAATTTTCTAAGATAAAGTTACACCAGTTGCCTAAATTTAGGCTGAGATCGAATAATTATTTTGGGTATGAAAAAATACGGGGACAAGCCAACTGTTTGGAAATGGAAAAATGTTCCGAAAACAAAAAAAAAATTGCTTGTGGCTTTATTATATTTTATTGAAATATAAACCGAACACAGCATATTTCGATGAAAAATTTCAACGGCTGAAAAATAAAAAAATTGTACAAATTTTTTTCGAACAATGTTCCTCACTTTTTGCTTCCATTTCGCCTTTAGGATTATATACATTTCAATTTTCTTGTCTGCACTGAATTTCGCTCATAATTGAGCAATTTTCTCTAACACACAAATTTCATTGATATATTCCAAGTGATTTAACAGAGAAACACAGAAAAATAAAAAATAAATAAAAAGAAACTTGCTGCCATTAATTTAGAGAAGTATGAAATTCCCCAAATGCGGCAATTGATTTTAGTGCACACAATGCTGAGCGAAATTACCTCAGACATAAATCAAATATTGCAAGTAACAAGCCTCAAACTTTTTTAAGTTTTCAAAATTGCTATTAAAGAGCAAAAGCGAAAACTCTCAGGAGTCGTTGGGCAATTGAGCAAAAATGATATGAACCCAAAAACATGTATAAAGGAAAAAAGAAAAAAAAACAAAAAATTGGTAAACAAAAATAAATGAAAATCATACAAATATCTGAGGATGACAAACATTATCTATAGGAAAATGAAAAGAAAATAAAAAACATCGGCAAAGCATTAAATATGCAAGGGCAAAAAGTGAAAAGTACGCCCGAGAGACTCGTAATATTCACCGTTGCGTTGACACGCTCTCTTCTCCCCTATCTTTCACGCCAAGTAACGTGCGAACATTGGCCAA